AATCACCCCCCCCTCCCGAAGCACTAAATAACAGACCAAGAGATCGAAGCGGGTATGCCTACGCCATTATTGCAAAAGGTTTAGAAGGTAGGAAAGGTACCTACTGAATGGAAGAAAGGCTGTCTTGTCAAACTGCAAATGAGGGCGGCCTAAGCCTATGCGAGAACCGGCGTGACATAATGCTCTTCTCTACGCCAAGTAAAATACTAAGTGGCATCATCCTGGATATAATACAGGATGCACTGAATGCAGAACTCCGCCACCCACTGAAATAAGCTGGATTCAGGAAAGGCAAATCACGTGCTGATCAAATTGCAACTCTAAGCATAGTCATTACAGAACAAAGCATAGAATATCAGTCAAATCTCTACTTCAGTTTCATCAACTTTGAAAAAGCCTTAGACAGAGTTGATCGAAAAGTAACTTGAAAACTACTTCGACACTGTGGTGTGCAGTGCCCAAGTCTTTATCAACCTCATTCAACAGCTGGCTATATGACAGTGCAACGTGACAGGTGATCGTCAACGGAAATCTCAGAGAGTGGTTTGAAGTGAATACAGCAATAAGACAAGGCTGCCTGCTATCATCGGTGGTATTCTTAATTGTGGTGCTCGACTGGATTATGCGACACACCGTGCGTGGGCAGCGACAAAACAGGAGTATGTTGGCATAAGAATAGAGTATGTTGCACCGATAAGAAGACTGTAGAAGATCTGGATTTCGCGCGTGGACGAATAATGTTTAGTGTCACATAAATTCGAAGACTTACAGATGAAGGCCAACAAGTTGTCAGAAGAAGCAACAAAGACAGGACTTCAAGCAAACATAGAGAAGACAGAGGTGATGAAGATAATCAACCAACAACAGGAAGCATCAGTGATAATAAGTGGGATAAATCTGGAAGGAGTCATCACTTTCACTTATCCAGGCACCATCGTTTCGACTATACACGTCACGGATGAAGATGTCAAAACCAGAATCCGAAAAACAAGATGGACGTTAACCAGTATGAATTCAGTGTGCAACTTTACTGCATTCAGCATAAAGAGTAAAATTCGGATTTTCATCACCAACGTTAAGTCAGCCAGTTCTTCTATGTGTGTCAGAAACTTGACGCTTACGTCACGGAAATCATTTCCAACAGGCTACTGCAGACTTTTATCAACAACTGTCTTCGCTCTATACTGAAGATCAGATAGCGGCCGGAAAGAACAAGAACCAACAAGAAACTATGGGAACGAACAAAACAAGAACCAATCGCTCAACAAATATGCAGGAGAAAGTGGAGATGGATTGGACACGCGCTGAGGAGACCGTCAAGTGACTTCACGCACCAGGCCATTACTCGAGTGAAACCCGAAAGGGAAACGACGAGTTGGGTGTGTGTCTGAGGTTGGGATAGAGGTGATCGTGTGAGGTAGAGGGAGAGCAATCGTTGGGCTAGCTGAAGAGGACTGTAGAGAATCGAACAAAATGGAAGTGCGCTGTTGAAGTCCTGTTTCCCACTCAGAACTCAAGGGAGTAATAATAATAATAATAATAATAAAGAAATTACGATCGAAAGATCAAGAAACCATCATCAAATACTATAAGAAAATTCATTCTACCATACCTAAAGAATACCTCTAAAATAATGACTAGAATACCAAGACCATTTGAAATGGTCATAACATATAAGCCAACACAATCGCTTTATTCACTATTGTGCAGACCCAAAGGATCCAACAGCAAAATCAGATAAGACCGACACCATTTACAAAGTACATTGCATAAACTGAGATAAACACTACATAGGTCAAAGTGGGCGTCCCCTTCGAATCCAAATCCAAGAACGTAAATTAGCTGTTAAGAGATGCATGTAGATAACAATTTGATTGGGAGAATGTAGAAATTTTAAATAGAGGAGACATCAAAAATACTAGGGAATTTCTAGAAACCTGGTACTCGAATCACTGATTAACAAACACATTACTATATACCAAATTTATCAAATAATAGAAAATAAATCATACGACAAGAAAATTCAGATTCCGAGTCAATTGCATTATCAATAGAGATGTAAATTAATAACCAATCACGACAATGGTTGTCAAGGGATACAATTATATACTTCATGGTGAACTCAAATAAGTCCATGTCGAACTAAAGATTGCGCTGAAGATGTTGTCTAGATGGATATAGTAGGCTTCGTAATTGAACCAACCAGCTCAGAAAACCCAGCCAAATCAGAATACTTTGCCTAGTAATTGTATTCCATATCTAACAAAAAAACGTCGAATGTCTATGAAAACCTCTCTTCTTACACATAGCGCGGCATACGTAAAATGCGAAGAGTATTATGCTGCGAAATGGGCGGGTGATCTGTGCTGTCTTCCTTAATGATTTGATGCTGTCCATCACGAAGGTCTCAGTTTTTGACGTTGTTCCCAGTATACTGTTAATTGTGCCTGTTTATATCTTTCCAGCTAACACTTATTATCATAATACTGAAGTAATACAGTCAACCCAACACTTCAAGCTCAAGATTCTGTGGACGATTTCTAAAGTTTATCAGATGTAGGATCTAACTGTTCCAATGTATTAAACGCAAGTTAACAGCCACAAAAACAACCTCATAACCATGAAATTACATTTCTAACCAATCATATTACAGAGGGGTGAGGAAGGAAACTTGTCCCTCCTCATCTTGGGACACCAACCTATACGCCCTTTCTGGAATCACTCCTTACCACAATAGAGGAACTTATAAACTGCACACTTAGAATTCCGGAGCTTAAATATGCTCATTTTAAAAGACGGAAACCGTTTCGACAGTAAACCATCGTTCAAACTAAGTCTGCAGGCGCAGCAACCTAGCACTGAGGACAGTGACCGTATGGGGGAGGGGATAGTGTAACCAGCAGAATTAGGCACCTGGATTTCACAGATGAAGTCACTAAGAGCCTCTGCTACGGTAACTGATCTTTCCGATCGTTTGAGCAATTTAAGAGCTCTCTTCTGGGCGATACCTTGTTTAGCTACCCCCTCCCCGTTCGTAAAAATAAAAACACTGCTACCGAAACTTCAAAGATTAAGCTTGAAGCCTTATGTTCTATTCGGGACATAAAGGAATGAAATACCAGTGAAAAGCCACATTACATTTTCTATGTCATGAATTCTATTTTGTGCAGAAAATCGTGCTAATTCAACAGTGAGTAAATACAAAAGAGTATTATTTCAGCTTGTACTGGCATCATTTCAGCACTATTGTACGCCTAACACAACGATCACCGCATTCTTACATGTAATGTGTCTTTGTTTGTTGTTTCCCTGCTCCACTTGATTATGAACCCAGTGATCACACACATTCCAGCTTAGTAAGTAGTTCTGTGGTTATAACAGGCTTGTTTTCCAATATTAACCTCCTTATTTCCATACCGTTTTCACGCTGGGAAGTTGTTCACAAATGTAAGCACGAAAATGTCATCCAAAAATACCACTCGAACACCAGTACCACGACAGACTTAATCCACAGGTTTTCACAATCACTTCCCGACTAAAACCACCAGTAATCCCTGCTTCCCTTCATGTTGTACAGATTTCGTAATTAACCTAGAAAATGTGCACACTGTTAGATACTGTTCTCAGCTTCTGTGATGACACCCAAATACGCATAAACAGCTAAGCATTTCTTTTATTGCTAGTTTCATTACCACTACCTACAATCTAGGTAGATTGATAAACGCACGAAAATCATACAAAACCGCGAAATGTTATACTTTGTGATACATAATAATTGGCGAAAAGTATCAGAATCTGTTCAGCTTCCTTTGCCCATTTCTGGAACATATCTCTCGCTGACAATAAATAGGTGATGACGGCTATTCTCTAAAATTCTGAAAGTAAGACACCTAAGGAAAAATGTTTACCAATATTTGTGTTGACAAATGTTAGTATGTCGAATGAAGACGTTCAATTGAGGTTGAATTCTGTCTTCATTCCCCTCTCCTAATCAGTGAATCTGTAATCCATTGTGCATGACATACTGCTGCATTTCAGCCTATTTTTAATGACTTTCGTAAATTTTTTGATTCATTTGCAAACTATGAAATTCATTCTTGTGGAGGATACTGTCCTACTGAATCACTCAGTGATCGAATAGAAATTCCGTGATTGGAATAACACAGCGGAAAACAAACTAGGCTTCTGTAATCATTCCTAAGTTTCATCCAAGCAACTAGCCACCACTCACCCTATAATCAAATAGGGTAAAAGTGCAAAACACGTTCGAAGCTATCGCCCACATTCAAAAGATGAAATGATAATGTCAAACATCCTAGGTGTTCATAAAACTTGGCATTTTGTCGGGAGCTCTGCCTAACAGAACTACGTCATTTACTCACCCCAAATCACTTAAGTTATCTATGAAGGTCTCATTTCTGTGAAGTTATCTGAGTCGAAATACACCTCCCAAATAATATCTATGATAGGACTAAAGAGAAATAAAGAGTGGATCTTTTTGAAGAATACTGCCTAATGTAATCCTCTCCTCACCAGTCAGTTTTTGAAGGCTCTAATGCAACTGCGAATGCACAAGTATATAGTCTTCAGTAAGAAGTACTTAGATCGGTTGGAGGTTTGTCATGGCGATCATAATACAAGGAGAGTAACTGCTCCATATCTTGTACTGAGATTATTTGTTGCAAACACAAATTTATCTGGAAACTGCTTAATTAGATGTACTGAAACCATTGTGAATCTATTTTTTGACTTTATCAAGTGTCCACTGGTGCCTTAGTTTTTTCACGCAATCGTATTCGAACATTACTCAGGTTCAGTAAATCTCTTGAGTCCTCGTACTTGATTGCGTAATCACTGTGCATGATGATTTCGCGCATTATGCCACCTAACGGTGTACACTTTAATGTGATAGTGGACACACACTAAACGTGTAAAACGAAGGTTAGTTAAGTAAGTGATCAAAAAACCGCTTAAGTATTTGTACAAAAGGGTTCCAAGGGTTGTAAGAACGAAAACAGAGCTGTAATGATATATGTTTATGCAGAAAAACGAATAAAACACTTGGTCCAAATGTGGAAAGGAGATAAGTATCCATGATACATGTTTCTTACACAGGCGCAATTCATAATTATTAATTACAGTCACTGTAAAACGTAACTGTCAAATACACTGAGAGAAGATAATATGTACATGATGGAGCATTATCCTTTCAATGTTTATTTAACGTCTACTATTTGGGCGGGACCATGGCTGTGGACCACCTCTTGTGCCTCGTTCTGCAACACCTGTACTGTAGTACGAAGTATGTACAGAGTAGGGATTTTCAAATGGGTAACTGTTAGACGGACGATACATGGATACGTTATTCCTAGGATAAGGAGGACGACTAAAGGAACCAGGTCGCCAGTGGGAAGGTGCGCCATTACTTCCTCTATCATAATTTGACGTGGCATTATATTGTGGGTGATCATTTTGATGGTGTTGGTACCTTGGTAATGAATTCACCACCATTCTGTGCATTGCTGAATTTGAACAAAAATCCCTGTCACCATCTCTTTCAGTGGAGCTGTCTCGAGCGTAATACTGCATAGCTGAATCTGAATTGAACCTCCCACGGTGTTCGTCATTACGGAAATTGCCTCGACCTCTCCCTCTACCGCGTTGTGGAGGTTGTAGATAAACAGGTGGCGGCATTTTAACCTTAAAAACAATGAAAAGTAATAGGATTCAATCTTAACAGAACTGATCAATTATTTCCGTAAAAGAAACTAGAAAAATCTGATACATATATCTCGATATTATTCTGAGTAGAAAGCGATCTCAACTAGATTGCCAATCGATAACAACTGTAAACGGAACAGGCAGAAAGATATCTTTATAAACTGCTTTGTAAATCCTAACAAAATAATTCATGTTGATCTTTAAAACTGGTGTGTATGCTAAAATGCGTTCCAAGCTAGTGTAAATATAATAATAGTTGAAAAGGCGACTTGTAGTTCAGGAGACGGTTGTTTTTTTTTCTCATGATGTTGTATCATAACAGTTGCAAGTTTATATTACATGACGTTATCAACATTCACTTTTTATGACACAGGAATTACTGGTTCAAAACAGAGAAACAGAATATTAATGTAGACTAGTGCTGAAGCAATAATTTAAAGTTTTTAAATTTTCGCATGGTTGCCAGAAGACCGTATCTTGTCAGTTCCTTCATCTAATTGGCTTAGTTTTTCTGCTCGCTGCTATAATGCGATCTCAATTCCATGTTTAGATAGTACCAGCTTATAGGAACAGACGTGATCGCATATTATGTACACAAAGCAAATATGTAACGTGATAGTGTTAAAGACTTCTGATTTAACGGTTATCCAGTGACTAGTTGGATTTAGTATTGAACAAATATGTCCACGACGTGTTTCTAATGATTACACCTCAGTAGGAACATAATATAACTAAGAGTATAACAGTTTACACATTTTCAGATTCAGCAAGGTGAAAATCAAATGAATCATTTTTTAGCAATATAATTAATAATATAATACAGTAACTTACAGATTCAAGCAATCGGGATGGAAAAATAAAACCTTCTGGATAGGACGGATCGGAAAAACACGCCGAAATGGCTTCGGAGGCTTTTATTCCGGGAACATGACCGGGGACTGCACTGGGTACACGATCACCAGGCAAATAAGCAGTTTTACTGCGCCAGATTAGACCAGAGATACCGGCAGTTACACGTGGATCAATAGCTGAGGCCCAAGACGGCACAAGCTGTTCTTCAGGATCACCTTTCTCCATTTCATTAGCTTCTGTTTTATATAGAGATTCCAATAAAGGACCAGCTGGATGATCAGCCCTACAAAACAACTGATCTGAGCCACGAACATTTCGGTCGACTTCTTCTTTCGTTAGACGGTCTCTTCGTGCATCCAAAGCTTTCAACAGACGAACCTCATCGACAAAAGGTAGTAAAGCCACACCCATCCAAGCAAATCGTTTTCCATTTAGGTCGACTTTGAAATTTGTTGGATAAAAATCAATTATAGGTGATTCAGGGTCAGTCATTAAATCCTGCCAAGCTGGAGGGACATGACTTCGTGAATCAGCTGGAAATACACCCATTAACTGTTCTAGAGGTCTAAATGGTTTTGTTTTTTCCTTTGTAAAGTCAACATTAAGCTCCTCAATTTTACAGAAGTCACTTGCGAATGGAGCATAATGATATGGAAAATACCAGTCCCATGAAGCACATCCCTGGTAATAGTAGGCTAAAACCCAACACAAACCAAGTGCATATTCCTGACCAACTTTCGTACAAAACTCTGGTGCGTCTGCAGGGTCCACCCCAAATTTTGACTGGTAATAACGCGATCGCCACCCATCCTCCCAGAACCGTACTTCGTCGGCCGCATCCATTAATTCATCTTCATTTTCACCAGATTTATTGTTTGGAACAATACCCTGTTCACCTAAATAACTTTTTTCTCCTTCTGTATTTTTCCTCATCATTTTTGAAGGCGAAACACTACCTATCGTATCCGGATTTCCATTCTTATCTGCAGGCCTATCACTCAACATTGCCCTTAGAGCAGTAGCCGATTCAAGGTTATTCAAGTTTTTATCCACCCAATTCATACCTCCTTGTTGACGGCGTGCAGCTCGAACTTCATCAACAGAAACATTTTCCGCTACATAGCGACCTTCTGGGTGGGCTATTCCATGTCGACCACTCAAAGAGACGGGCTGCATAAAACTAGACTGCCCAGTTTCATGGTAAGAACGTCTACCTAGTTGTTGTGGATTCGAATCACGTTGATTTCTATCAAAGTTACCTGATGACGCATTTTGGCGTTTTCTTTTGCGGAACTGTAATTCCGATGCACGTCGATTTTTAAAAATCTCATCTTCCATTTTCCCTAAATCAACCATGATGGTTTGAACACGTTTCAAGTCGACTTTGCCACTATCCGTTAACCATCCTCCAGTTTTTTGAACTGTTGATTTGTAAATTTCTATTAGTCGGTCGATCGCGCCTTCGCGGATTTCCAAACTTGGAAGATGAGGGAGAAAGTCATTTCCGACGAAAAAGCACATAAACACCCAGTCATCAATAACCCTTTCAAGATCCCATTCAAATGTGATGCCTGGCAATTTTAGATCTTCTGACAGATATTGTCGTAGAACATTTAAACGAATAAAGATAAAATCCTAAAAAAAGGAGTAAAATATATCAAAAATAATAAGTATTAGCCTAGTTGTCATGAAAGGTTTCAAAACATTTAAATCTTTGGCTAAGTAAAAGAACGCAGAATTAGGCAGGTTCATCTATGGATTTGAGGGCAATTAACAGTGTGGTTCAGGGGTAGAGGGCTCGCCAACCATGCATGTAGTCCGAGGTTCGACGCATTACTAAACTTCGTTTAGCCGGTAGTAAGACCGGGAAAGAGGGAAGGTTGGGCGAGAAGCCGGTAAAGCTTGAAACCCTATGTTCTACTGGGAACTCAAAGGAATAAAATAAAATAGTAAATAATAATGACAGTGTTGTTCAGAAGGGTGGAATTAAGTGCATAACAAGATCAATATTATCACAATTGGTAGTTAATGGACATAGCGTAGGCGACAGTAGTCTTTATTGTTTTATTACAATATGCCCACGGATATTGTCACTTACACTTCTTCTACATCTTCATACAATCGAAGCTATGGAAATGATAAGAACAAGCCAGAACTTTGTATTCAGAGAGGATACGTCCAGGTATCGCTTCGCACTCAGGCATCATTGGATTATATACTCTTCCCTCCATATTTTTCTCTTCACCATTTTCTTTTCGTTTAACTCGGCAATTTTGGACATAGTTTTTTATGTAATAACTACCCTTCAACCCAAAAGCTTTCAAACACTAAGTCTGATGTTTATACAACTCCAGACTGGTAAAATCAAGCTATTCTGAATAAGTACATTGCTGCTATGTAACTCCATTCATTTCACATACCGCTTATTTCATGATGAAGTATTCATGTCAGTTGTACAATCTTTTGTTTTGGTGTATATTATCTTTATACTAGTCACTCACCACATGAAAACATTCTACACCTCTGAACTAAATTACCGATTTCCCTTACTCTCACTAATTAATTATCATCACCCATTCCAGACTATTTCGTTGTTACATTCAGCTCACAAGGTTTGTCATACAAATGCCATTTATCTTGTTACCTTACAACTTGAAACTATTCTCTGATTTCGAACCCATAATCACATTGTAAATTAAAACGTATCCGTCGCAAACTTGGCTATTATATCGAAGAAAAATTTGGCTTTGTAACGAAAATAACCTGAAAAAAAAGGATATTTTTCGTTCAAACAGGCTTTCAATTTGTGAAACATATATTTCAGGCTCTAAAGTTACATATTTCTGAAGAGCATTGACAGTTTTTATTACCTCATGTAGTAGACAAAAGTATATTCAAAGTATAAATTTCATTAAAGAAAAGGTGGAATATCAAGTTCCCTAGTGTCAGGCTAATTTTCCGTCAAGAAATATTAACTTCACAACAAAAGACGACAGTTTACACATACAGTTATAATACCCCGAACGAAGGGCTCCTAGCATTACGAAGTCAGTCATGAGCAGTAACCTATGAAGAAAGCATAATTCTGTGAACTGACATTTCTTGAGATCATTTAAAATTCCCACCAGCGACGGAGTCAGGTTGATAAACTATAAACCAAACTGAACTGCAGGTTAGACAGCTTTCATAGACAAATACCAAAAATTACTCAGACTGTACAGTACTTCCTGTCTGTGGAAATAGAGATACCTTTGTTGATGAAGGTAGAACACTAGTAGAATTACACTAATAGTCTGCGCAGTTTAGTAGCATATGCTCCAACAGGACAAATATAAAGCATTTAGAGCTTTTACACTTTGTGGCAACTTAATACAATCCTAATACCTATGCTTAGGCAGGTAGAGTAAGTTCAAATATTTGCCTCTTAAATCAAAGACACAAATCTTGACGACATACAGTCAAATGGGACAAAACCACGAAATACTGCTTGTAAAGCATTTAAACATACCACATCACTGGATACTGGAGGGGGACGTTCATTTGGATCCTCTTGATTGGGTGAACCTATACAATCTTCCATTTCGTGCCCCAGTTGACCACATATTTCACATGGTTTTGGTTGATTTGGTTTAAATTCTTCACGAATTATGGTGAAATAAGGTTCATGGGTGGCTAAGCCAAGCATTATTAGGTCAGCGTCAGCACCACAAAGACAATGTTTCGTATTTGGGTCATGAGTCGGATTATTCCTTTGCCTTCTGATAAAGTCCATAATTTTATGCTCTCCTTCACCAGGGACATTAGCATCACTCAGAAATACCTAATTAAAAGAAATGGTGAATATGAACCATAGAATATTTTTAAGAAAAAAAAATCAGTTTGAATCTAATACAGAACTATTTATGCATTTTATTTCAAAACTCAGCTACTGCTGAAACTCGTAATTAGATTAAATAAGTCAATTTCAACATGGCTCATTTGGTGGTGCAAGATCGACTATCACATCAAAACAGCATCATTGTTTGTGGGAACAAATAAATATAGTGATTACGAACGTGACAGCTTAAGTTTACTGCTGATAGATCGAATTCTAAATGATAACCGGTAAATAGATCCACACAAAAAATTAAACTAACCATTAAATCTTTCCACCCTGGATGTTTTGTCAAGCGATCATATATGTACCCTCTGAGAGCAACAGCTAGACGTGCCATAAATGGTGTTCCGGGGGTTATACAATTGGAATCAAAATGTTCTTCTTTTGGAGGTGGCAACTTAGCTCCTTTACTAATTAGCTCATTCCTTATATTTTCAATAGTCATTTGTTTCTCCTTCGCTTCTTGAGCTGCCCGAAAGCGCCTAGATCGTTGTTGATTCATTTTTGCACGTGGTGCCACTCCATCGATAGCCATATACAGGACTCTCCTAGGACGAACTATGGCGAATAACCTATCGATATATTCGAAAATGGCCAGGAACATTTCCTCCTCAGATTTAGGCGCAGGCTTATTTTCCGGATGGGTACAAGGATGGATGATACCATTCATGTCTAAATACAAGTTGTCGAACTCCTCGCCATTAGGATTGGGTTCGGACGTATCTGTAGGTACCCTATTGTCTTCGTCATCCAAAACAGCTCCCCGCTTTTCTACACAATGAGTCACAATTGATGGGTATTTTGCACTAAGCCATCTAAAAAAGGCCGGAACACCCATTTTGAATTCACCTGAAATGAGATAAACTGTAACTAAAGTAGGTTTATAGATGAGTAATTTAATGTAAAGTGTTGAAACGTAGAACTTTTTTTATTCCGATCGTACACAAATAAACTTTAATGTCAGACAAAACTGCATCTTTAAAAAATAACTCACAAGATGACTCCGATATCTACTAACAAACGGTTAGCAAAACCCAGTGAATATTTGTTTACTTCGTCCGAACAGATTAGTGATTCGAAACTCCAGGAGAAATGTAACCTGCTTAAAATAAAACTGACTAAAAAACCCCACTACGACATAAAGTAGCTTTGGTTCAAGGAAGTGAGAGGTAGCAGGATGAGTTGATCATCACCAACCACTTAAGCTTATTCAACAGGCAGGTCGCTGAAAGAATATGTTACACGAAACTTACAATGTGAAGATGCACGGACAAACCAAAACAATTACCAAATAAGTTGTGGAGGTTTACACGATTCAATACCAGTAGGGAAATCGCAAGACTGGAATTCAATAAAATTCACAGGACCTATAGTGATATGTTTGGACACCGCCTGAGAAAGCTGTGCACTGGTTTGAACAAACTCACAGTTAAACCATGAAAATAAATAGCCCGATGTCAATTGTTTCATTTACAATGGAAGCTGCATTGGCACCAATGAGTTAATTGACGACGTTAGTTTAGAAAGAACACAAATCCTACTGGGCGTTTGACAACTCACTTCATTCTCTCGGTCAGCAGTATATCTTGCCTCTCACTCAAGATGTTCCACGGTGACTAAGAATGGTATCAATGGACAGTTTCATCAATACCAGGAGCCCTGTAGTGCTTGGATGAGAATGGCCATACTTTGTTGACAGAGGATATGAGTAATCACTACAATTCAGGAATGTCCCGTAGTAAGTGCGCTTGCGCATGGATAATCACACCTTAAACTCAAACGCCTAATTTCAGGTAGTATATCTTCCTAATGTTTGTCAATAACGTTTGCTGATTGTTTTAAATTGTGGGTAATAAATATTCCCGAAGACTCAACATTATCCAACTTCGTAACCGAAATGGTCTGGAAAGACTACATGGTTTCGACAATAGACATCTTTATGCGACATAAGCACTAACTGAACTGTTTCAACATGCATTATTAAACAACACAATGGAGTCAGTAGTAGAATGATCACAAGTGAAGCACAGAACCACAAATTACAGAATTTAACGAATACGTTTAGCAACCAGGTTGTGTTAACTGAAGAGTCAGGTATCTGACTAGGAAAATGTAGTTTTCCGGTGAAAATAACATAAAATCCTCCTGTTCATTATTGGATAAGTAGTAATAGTTATGTAGAGGGTTCATATTTTCACCAGGTAGTGCCAGCAATGCAGGACTATTTGAATGCTCTGAACAAGACCCTAAGCAAACGAGCCCATTAATGGGAATGAAATAATCGATTCAACTTGTCATTACCGGCGAAAACCCACGCTTTACGTTAGTTAGACACAATAGGGCATTTCGTTTTGAAACTAGGTGATCAGAAGGATTCTGCATTTGAGGGTCGAGACGCTGAGTTAATAAAGAGTTTCCGGCCGCAAAGGAAATGAATGTAGCCTCATATATTGTAACAGTAATTAATCGCGTATGATGCCCTAGACTCACAAAAGTTGTTCCCTCTAAAAAATAAACAACCTAAGTTTTGGTTTCGACAAAGAGGAGAAACAGGAACTAAGTAATATAATTCACCAACAGCATGAAAAACCTACCCCTGCGCACCACTCTAAACTAAGTTGACCTCACTATCACTAAACAAATTGGACTACGATGCCTTCACACTTCAAAAGCTGATAAATAAAAAGTTCATCCACTAGGGTTAAGTATTTGTTCCGACAATTTTCTGTTTTAATAATAATCCCTACCTCTAAAAAAACTGCCTCGCCATCACGCGTAAGTAGCAACGTTAATCACTAACGTCCTTAACAATCCAGTAACAAACTTGATACCGATGCAGAAGTTACCATCCTTTCCTCAAGGTAGGAAGATCATCAGAAGGGACTCGAGTTTGACATACATGTTGCAAATAACCTCTGTCTCAACTTTCCGGAAGAGATATATGTTTTAAACGAAAGTTCACATGAGCCTGTACAGTGAGCTCTTTTCGCAGACGTCAGACTGTGTAGCAAGGCAAACAACTGCGTAGGCCGAGGCTGATTTGGTTGAGAGCATTACCTTTATGGACGCGAAATTTCACCCAGCTAGGAGTAGCTATTGGGAACCAAGGAAACTAGTGCATAACCATTAGAAAAGGACACATAAATGTAGCACAAAGTTCTAGGTCAGGAAGCAGATCCCGACAAAACAGATCGACGGGAGAAATCTGCTGGCATCACTAGCGGTTTGTCATACAATCAAAGAAATGCATATACCCATGCAGCTAGTTTGAACTAACTCACAAGCAACAGGGAAAACAGTCAGGCTCTTCTCAGGTGGGGAATACTGTGAAAATGGGCGCCCGAATAATAGAAATATAATGATAATAATCACTCTATTTCAAGCAATACTTTTTCATACGGAATAGAATTTCCGGCGTTATACACAGTGTACTCTGGCGTTTGTACTCATGGTTGATACAGGAGTTGCCCTCAGTTCGATATGGAAAACAGAGGTGAGGACAGAGTGGGATAGTCCCCTAATGCTGTATGCTACGCTGATCGCGACTTTCGGATGAAAAATGCCACTGCGTGACCTCAAGTTTAAGCGTCAGTCTTAGTGGATTTTCACTGCCTAAACCTAGCAATTCCTGACAAGTGTTTCATAAAAAGACAAAAATTACCGGTCGGTGGCCGGAAAAGATTTCTGACAATGAAAGGAACATGCAGGTGTACGATTGGTGAGGTAGGGGCTATATATTCACTAAACCTCCGACAGTCTAAACTGGAAGATTCCGGAAAATACTAACGGAAGTTTCAACTCTGACAGCAACAGAACCTCAAAATCCCAAGGTTGATCTAAATGTCACATATAATATAAGGACAGATGGCCCTCAAGTCTTTCTAAGCCCAGAAGGCTAGTCCAGGGAAGATGGAAAACATCTATTATGCACTGCAGCTATATGCATCCGATGGGGAAATCCGACCCCAAAATAGTTGTCGGGCTTCTCCATTAGACTTGGTGCCCCGTAAAAGTGAGATTGAATGGGGCTCTTATGGAAATTACGGAGCCCTAAATAAACAAAACGCCCTGGGCAGACATCTGGGACCGTACTAATAGTCTTCTAGGTTCCAGATTACGCACCGAAATAGATAGGAAGATATGCGTGAAGCACCCACTGCAACCAAGATTGGACTGTACTCGTTTTTGAGGATCTCATATGGCCTTCGGAATGCTGCAACAAATTTTTAAATAATTTTGAAAAACTTCTCGTATGAACTGCCATTTGTGAAGAACAATCAGTTGTCCATATATGAACCCACAAAGAACAAGTTTGAGTATTATCACGCAAATGTGAGGACAACAGTATGACAAATAATCAGGGCGTGTTCCAGGGAGAGAAATGATAAAGTTCCTAGAGCATGTCACTAACAGCACAAGGATAACACCATTGTCCAAAGAGGTACGTCAGTGTTGGTGGATATTGAATGAACCTGTGGTTCGTTTATTTCAACGGATCTCCATTTTGGCTAGAGGCTACAATAGCGGCCGTGGCCTTATCTTACGCTGCTTGGCAGAAGACCGCAGAAAAAGAATCATAAGAATTATTGTAATTAATACTTATGTTTATTCATAGACTTTATGCTCAGTAACCCTGTAGTCCTGGTTCACTTTCGGTGGAGAAATAAACGATCCTCAATCTTCAATCTGTGTTCCGACAATTTTGAGTCTGTGACCGAGAAAATACTTTGAGACTGAGGTTATTTTTCTGCAACAGTGATGGGTTCAGGATCTTTTCTGATCTGAACAACTGACAGTTTCTGATCCCGCACAATTAACAATGTGAATGGGGCGTCGATAAGGCATATCCCCTGTTTGAAGTGGCGCCTCCAGCTTTACCTTGAGGACATTAGCGCGGTCTAGTTGATTTCAGTTTGGCTGATTCGTTTCGCTCGATGTAGGTAGCTGCATTTGACGTGATTCTGGTTTCTGTTTGGCTTGAACTGTATTGATTTTGTTAAGAATAGTCGTCAAAAGCTGTCTCTAGGCCTAAAGGCAGTTATGGTGCAGGAGGATGCTTGAGAATGTGTTTCATGTGAAAATTGTAGGGTGCACCTAAAATCCTCCTATTTTTGGCGTCTCAATGATTTCTGTAGAGCTTCGTTTCATCACTTGTGTCCATTTTTGTCGTTCACGAGTGTTTCAGTAAATGTTTATGGCTATAATCAGGAACTTTCAAAAACGGTAACTGTGGTAAGGAATTTATATTTTTTCCGCTATAGTTTCCAAATCAATGTCTCTTTTAAGTTGCTTACTGTGCTCTGTTGGCTATTCGTGAATTTTTTTATTGAAAAGCTTCTTTTTTCATTTACAGTGGTACCAAATGGACGCATTGGCACTTGGAGACAATGGCAACCAACCTGCCCTTCCTATATCAGTGGAAATCAAAAAACTTTTTGACGGAATTATGTTTAGTCACCGGTATACCAGTTGGGTTCAAGTAGAAGGTGCTCTAAGTCAGCTGGAATCAGTAATATATGTATATATGTATGACAGAGTATTCCTAGGCAACTCATACACATTATGTAATCAAAAAGTGCATACGGGACCATGAATCTCAGGAGTTGAAGTACAAATTAGTGGTCTTTCGTTGTACATATGGCATGAAGCGAAAAACTATAGGTTCAGGTTTACGCGTCAAACCGTAAGAATTCTATTATTTATTTCTGCAGTGCAAAATACACCGGTTGCCAATCTGGCTTTCGTATACGCTACAAGGAGGACGAGTTTATCATTTCTTCCGCGAAAACAGTTCACAATCACAAATGTGAAAAAAGTCTTATGATAGGTGATCCATATTTTAGACGCCTGTCCGGGGATGAAAAGGAGAATATTGCACCAGTTGTGAAGACTACATCTGAGGTTGCTGATGTTTTGGAATATGCTGAAGAGAATTTTAATAAAATTTTGACAAGCACAGATGTGTATAATTTACGTAAGGATATGAGACCAGGTAATTGAAGTAGTTTAAAGTTATTTTTGAAGCCATGCCTTTGAGATCAGATGTTATGCGTATAATAAGGCAAAGCGGTCAGGTGGTTGAATACGTGGATTCGAATACAGGGATAACCAGTAGAATTTGCTTCGCCCTGGAATCACAGGTTCAGTTATATCGGAAATATGGAGAGGTGGTGTGTATTGACTCAACATACAATACCTATAAGGACGGGTAGGTTATAAGTGAAACGGTTGACAAATCTTAATCAGATATTCTCTGTTTCAGTTGGTGGTAACAGACAATATGGGTCATGGCAGGCCTGTTTTTTGGCATGGACGAGACGAGAGAGGTCATGTGATGTAGCTTGGATATTGGAACAATTCCAAAGAATAATGCAGGATACGTCCATCACAGAAACTTTCGTAATGGATTCGGCCAACTGTGAGATATCCGCCGTGCGTAATACTCAAATTCAGGCGAAAATCGTCATATGTGCATTTCATGTATGCCGGGCTTTCAGCAGGAAGGTGAGGTGAATGTAATTAATACTTGATGCATTTAGACTCGAAATCCTTTTGTACGCAGGTTTTTATATCGTCTTGTTAAAGCTACGACACCTGAAAGGTAAATGCATTGATTTCTAACCGTTTAGATTTCATCACTACCTTAGTGTCATTAGGATGGTTGATCGGAGGGCGTGGAATTATGTCAGGCATTACTGGGTGCCTAAGAAGGAGACGTGGGCTGCGGCATATATGCCGAATACTCTGTTGCTGTTTAATAGTACCAACAATAGAGTTGAAAGCTCTCACAGTCACCTAAAACGATATCTCCACAGAAGAGATCCCCTACACGTATGCATGTACAAGACGTATAAATGGTGTGTGCGCACAGAGAAGCGTCGTAGTGTTGAAGTCATCGTCGAAAATTGTCGGATTGATAAGTACCACGCACCGGAACCAGTTATGCCGATATTAGGAAACTTCACTCCTTATGCCGCTAAGTTAATTGCCAAGGACTATGGCTGTAATCGTCGGATGAACATAGAGTTGTATACTGATGATATGGCTATTCAGCCTCCCCACCTTGAAGACTAACTTACCCTCCTCACCTAACACTTTATGCGTAACCTCAAGAGCAATCGCCATATTATACTGCTTTAATCATGATATAGAACACAGACACCTATAATCAAACACCGGTATCCTTTTCATATCTTCCAGTATCAGGGGTAACTTCTCATAGTCTAGGTGTACAATATCATCAGCAAACTGTAAGTTGATGATGATGATAAGTCTCTAAAGTCATTTATAGACTATCCTACTGATATATGTGTGATTGGATTGAAATGATATTAGGATGACAGTTTAAGAATTCAGCCTTGTGTTACATCCCAATTGGAAATGTGTTTTCTCGGATAATTCGCAAACAGTAATCACTGAATAGGAAACATTCTGTAGAATTTGTGAAACTCATTAACTAACGCAGTACTTTTGCAGGCATTATAGTGTTTCCTCAATAAAGCGAGATTTGTATATTTCGGTTGCATAAAACGAGTAAGTGGTATCCTGGCAATACCAATGACTACAACAAGTCTTGTAATTATGCACTACAACGTTTACTTTACTGAATACTCCAGCAGATTTGAAATAAACAC